TTATCTTATTACATTTTGTTTCTACAGTTTGGAATCTGAGAAGCCTATAGGCTGCTACAGTGCTTCAGTGCAGGTAAAGTAGTTGTTTTTATGTTTGGGTGTACAATATTTTACTTTTTTCTGTTAAGATTATTAATTTCGATTGTCCCTGTTATTTTGTGACACTTGAGTTATCTAGATGTTTTATACTTGCAAAATTGAATGTTGTTCTTGGTTGTAGATTTGTGATCCGAGTCTGTATTATATATGCCTTTCATTGATCATAGGTTATTCTTGAGAATCATGATGTAGAAAGAAGATTATTTGATTTCCATGACTTTTAAGCAGTGTTAACCATTTTTAAAAGCAATACTAAATCATAGAAGTATGGTTGGATAGGAAGGTATCAGAACTTTCATTGTGATCATGTTTTGTGCACTTGAAACCTGTTGGTAAAACTAAATAGGTGATAATCATGAACCATTTGTAGTTCTGGCCTTAAAGACAACTGAACAAATGCATCACTTGACAATATCAAATGATTTGTCTATGCGTCTCAATGTACCCTTGGTATATGTATTATCAGAGCTATACAGTAGTTATTTGGTCCTGTGGCAGACCAGGGATATTAAGGAAGAGAGGTGATACAAATTTATATAAAGACTAATAAATGACATTTGTGTGGGACTAGAAACCACCAGTACATAGTTAAAAACGATCCCATTAAGCCAGGTGTGATATAGTTAAAAGAACAAGACAAATTACATCTAATACACAAATAGTGGAGTATTTTTCAAGCATTCAACTCTACATGAAAGATAATTTTGACTTTATCCTTAATATGTTGATACTTGACAAGAATTTAGTAACCTACAATAATTTACATTGGTAGGTTGCAGCTGCCGTGTATGACAGACAACAGGTAGCTGATCATGCGCAAAATCTTGCCACCAAAATCCGAAATAATTTAACCAACTCTATGAAATCTCTTGGTGTGGACATATTGACAGGTTTTGGTATTGTTGTGGTAAGTCGTGTATTTCAGGCATTTGGATTAGTGATCCCATTCGCATATTTCTTATAAATTGCATTAAATTTTTTTAATGAATATATATATATATATATATATATATATGCAGGGTCCACAGAAGGTGAAATATGGAAAAGTTGGGGGGAGTGAGACACTTATTACTACAAAAGACATAATCATAGGTACTGGATCAGTACCATTTGTCCCCAAGGGAGTTGAAGTTGATGGTAAGTGCTTGTTTCTTTGTCCAATCTCCCTCATCGAAGTCTTCCGATTGGGCTATAAGCTAATAGGTTTCTATCATAAAAAAATAGAGGAAAACATTAGAAAATAAAATGAAAGCAAGAGAAAATATTCAAWGAAAACATTCTGATGCAATAGTTTTGTGAGGTCTTCTCTACTCGGTTCATTTTTAGGATCCTTGATAACATAGAAGTTCAAGTCGGAAAAAATGATAGACCACTGCCATACTTAACCTGTATCTTTTACATTTAGAATGCTTGAGAAGAAATACTATTTCGGTATTTCAATGGAATATGTTTGTTATATTACAATGTTTCATAAATCATAATATTTATGGGATATATTTAGATCCCTTAGCTTTGCCCTATGCCAAAGATATTAACACTGGTTAACTAGCACTGCAACATTTAAYCTGTATYTTTTCTTTGTAGTTCATTGGTCAACTACCACTTGATTCCCTAGGTAAATGTTTTTTCACACATTTTCTTGCWTGAAATCTTCTTTTCATTTATGTTATCGTCGGTGTCTTGACCTCCACCTTTATTAGGGACCAAAAATGTATAGCAGAATCCATTTAAAAAAAAGTCATTGCAAGCTTGAATATACAAACCTCTGTTGTGTTCATGAAGTAGTTAAATAATTGAATCTTTCAACGATTGTCTTCTTTTTGCAAGTTATCTGCTTATTTACTTAACACAGTTCTGTTTCACTTGAATATATTGTGTTGTTTATTTTTGTACTATAGTTCCCTATTTGCAAGAGCATTTTAATCTGATGCTGAAATTAACTGTTTAATACCTTCATAATGTTACTGATCAGCTGCCTGCAGGTAAGATCGTAATAACCAGTGATTATGCACTAAAACTATAGACAGTACCAGAATGGATAGTTATTGTAGGAAGTGGTTACATTGGTCTTAAATTCAGTGATGTTTATACAACACTTGGAAGTGAGGTGGGCACTGTTAATTCTTTCTGCAGATATCTGCTGTAAATACACATCTTTTCAAACATTCTTTCCTTTTCTTACCTTATACTATGTAACCATATAGTACTATTTGACATTATTAATTGAACTCTATGAGAGAGAGACAGACAGACAGAGACAGAGAGGTGATGAAGTTGTTGCCTCGCCCTGATGTGGAAATTTTGAATATGTTCTGGTGTTTCATTGTTTATTTGTTTTTTAATACAATTATATGACAAAGCTTCTCATCGTCTTACAGGTGATTTTTGTAGAAGCATTAGATCAGTTGATGCCTGGTTCGACCCTGAAAATGGGGAATTGGCTCAAAGGGTTCTCGTAAATCCTCGAAAGATTGACTATCCTACTGGTGTATTTGCATGCAAAGTTCTTACACTATTAACCCTTTTTATGGTAGGGGTGGGATGGGGGGACTAAAATGCATCATTGTTCATATTTGTCTAATTCACCTTTTATATTGACGGATCACTCTGGTAAGAGATGGTAAACCTGTAGCAATTGAGCTTATTGATGCAAAGACGAAAGAACTGAAAGATACATTGGAGGTGGGTTTCTATGATTAAGTCAAAATAATTCCATCACATATTTCTACATCATCCACACAAGCAAATTACATTATAGTGATGCTTGCTGCAAAGCTGATTCAAAAACTCGGGGTTGTTTTGTGGCAAAAAACATAATCGGCACCCCTAGAAGCTTACCGAATTTCAGCAGCTACAGGGCTGTTTTGTGGCAAAAAATCGGCACCTAAAGAAGCTGTTCCGTGGATAAAAAATCAGCAGCTAAAGGGCTGTTTTGTTGCTAAAAAATCACAGGATTACATGTCTATTCTCTAGCAAGATCTGACAGCATGTTTCTTGGCAGATTTTTTAAGAACCTGAAGTTTCATGGCAGATTTTTAGCTGCTAAACAGATTTTTGTATTATAGCTTATAAGTTCAAGTGTCTCCATGATTTTGCTTTGATGGAGTTGAATTGCACTTTGTATCTTGTCCACTGATATGTCCATTTCTATCCAAACTTAAGAAGACTTCTTATCCATTCAAATATTGCAGTTGTAAGTTGCTATATCACTTTCATTTGACTTGCTATGTATCTTCCTTGCTTACAGTGTACAAAATGTTTATGAGGTTGTACACTCGAGAAAAGGAAGCATGCTAAACGCCTTGGCTATGGTAGCTATATTTTCTTGTGAACTGTACTGTTTTGTTGATCCTTATGAGGCTTATTTGTTGTCTTGTTATCTTTTCTTGCTAGCTTATTCCATTTGGGGTGCTGTTGGGGGTAATTCTTCTCTGGTATGCACCTTCTCTTTTGTATCTACTTCCTGACCATTTACCACATTCTATTCCTTTTGCCCCCTTCTCTTTTTAGATGTCCCATGGAAATTTCCACCTCTACAACCGTGGTAGTTTGAAAATTTGTGTGGAGTCGATGTTTTCATGGGATGGAGAAGTTTATTTTTTATGTTCTCAGTCATACTTTTATCTGTTTTTCAGGGATTGTATGTCTTTATCTAATATAATCGTAAACTACCCACATATGGTTATGATGGGAACTGGACTAGCATTTGGATTCCTTGTGGTAAGGTTATACGTTAATTGTAACTGAATATTATTGCCCCTATTATTTTTTAGATATAGCCAAACAATTTGTGTTTTCAAATAAAATGTTCAAATTCCAGCGTTGGTGCCATGGTGGTAAAAAACTGACAGACTGACAGTAAAGGTAGAATTGGAACAATATCACCTACATAGTACAAAAACTATAATATATCTTACAATTTGATATAATACCACCCTATATCAATACCACCCTATATGATTCGTATGACATGCTCAATAAGTTAATCTTCTCTTTTTGTTTGATGTCATATGCAGATTGTTGTATTGCCTGGTTCAAGAACATTGAGTTGGTTTTCCAGTCAAGACCCTTCACCAGGATTATTTCTTCCAGTTTTTGTGTCTACGTGGGTGAGAACCAATCATTGAGTTTCTGTCATTTAGTAGAACTCATGGATTTTTGGAATTGGTATTAAAAGCCCTTTTTTCCCTGCACCAACAGAGCAGATCTCTTTCAGAAGGTTAACTTGTTTTACTCCATGTTTGTAGTTGTCGTTATGTCTATATTAGTGGGTAATTAAGGTTTTTTCTAAGTTGTCGTTATGTCGTTATGTACATATATAAATCACTGCTTAAGTACACAGAGATATAATAAAACATATGCCATAAAGGGTACTAATCATTACGAACTAGATGGTATCTGGTAAACATGTTTTGATGCAAAAAACATCCCTTTTTATATTTTCTACCTACTTGCTGGTTGTTTTGATTAGAAGTTGGCCCCATGTACATTTTGCAGGTTTATGTTTGTTTRCAAATTCAWATTTTGCAGGTTTRCGTTTCATGATTGTTGGTTGATTTATGTTTGATTTTGTTGATTTTTTATAACCATATATGTTACTTTACTTTCCTAAGGTTGAAGGAAGATCCATTTTCCAATTTAAAGTTAGATGGTCTCAGAAAATGTTGTATTAAGGCCATGATTTATGTCTCAACCTGCCTTTCGCTTACCCTACTCATGTATTTCCAGTTTTCAAGAAAGTTTCTTGTAGAGAAAAAATACTGCTATATGTGAATTCTGGCACCTGCACTCAGATTACATGCAACACTTGTAGCCATCCTTTAAAGGCAAGGCATGCATATCTTCATCTTTTATACCAGATGATGATCATTTACATTATTCTTGTTTAAATCTGTTTCCTTCTTTATAATAACTAAAAAGACAGGCTCGCCAATTAAGTTTCTTGTATGATTCAAAGGTTCTCAAGTGGTCTTCTCAAGATTCCTATTTTGCTTATTCGGTAAGACCTACCATCTTTATGGGAACACGTTTATAGGATGCCAAAAAAGTACTCGAGATGTTCTAATGCTTTCACCATCAAACAATTATGCGTCCTATGTAAAAAGGTGTTATAATTGGACGTTAGGACATATTTGGGCATAGGGATGGTGATTTGCCCCGACCCGGTGGGGAACCCGGTTCACCCGACCCGAACGGGGACGGGGATTCACCGCTAAAATGGGTCCCGGGGCCGGGGATCCCCGGTAGACTCAAACCAGGGATGGGGCCGGGGACGGGGAATGTTACTCTAAACGGGGCCGGGGTCGGGGACGAGGATCCCCGGTATAATCAAACAAAAGCATACTTTTACCGGGTTTTGACCGGGGATTGACCGGGGTTTACCGGGGATTGCTAGAATTTGACCGGGGACGAGATGATAATCCCCGTACCCGCTGGGGACAGGGGCCGGGGCCGGGGGATGGTATTACAAACCGGGGCCGGGGATTACAAAATCCGCCTCATCCCCGCCCCGTTGCCATGCCTATTTGGGCATACTATCAAGTTTTTTCAGGCTCTTTTAGTTTTTTATAGAAAACTTTGACAAGCGTGTTACGAACACATACTTTTGTTTCAAATAATATCACATAAAAAGACTAATAGGACAATTTATTTTAAAATTGCATGCACTAAAAGTCAGCAACGGACCGACATTTTTGCCAACCGAGTGCACCTTAAAGGTGGATCAAAGCCCCGCAAAGTTGCCTGATATTCTTTTAACCGAATGCCACCTTTCTAGGGATTTTTTAAGTTTTTTGGTTGATCTCAAGTGACTTTTTCAGGTTTTTTGGTTGATATTCTTTTTATTTTATAATATCACAAAGTACTCCTTAAAGTTTAGCGTATGCACCTTTCATACCAAAAATACTACTTAGGATAATCGGTTGAGTGGGTGCACGGGGCTGTGTTGCCTTTGAATTTTCATAGGTCTGCCCCTGCTAAAAGTTGTTAAAAATGTTATGTTAATTTATTGTAACACATTTACATAGGATGCATAATTGTTTGATGATATAAATTTGAGTCCTATAAAGCAATCTATAAAACTTCAAAATCGTTAAAATTCATGGCTTCCGCCGCAATGCACGAGTACACAACTAATATATATATATATATATATATACATGTATTAATTCAACCTTAATATGAGTTTCTGGACAAGAAAGAGGGTAAGCAGTTGAAATTTCATTCTAAAACCCATTTTTTTTGTCTTTTCATGGCTTATGATCTATCAAATTTGTAGTTTTTTTTTTTTTTTGGTTTTGAGTGTTTATCTTAAAACTCAAGTTTCTTGGTTCTTTGCTCTTGGTGTAAATCGAACACATTTGTGGAGTCGTTTAAATATGTTGGATTTTAAACTGTCATACAATTTTTTTAATCGATAGTCTGTAATTAGAATCATAACTCTTATTTATTCAAATTATATTAATAGGTAAAGACCAAGTGTAACATATATCATCGTTAAATCTAATCTTATAAAACCAGTGGAACTTCAAAATCATTAAATCCATGGCTCCTGCCGCATTGTGCGGGTACACAACTAGTATATATATATATATATATATATATATATATATATCTATTCCAAAATCTCAAATCAAAACTTGTAACCTGAATATTACAACATTCACTCCTTAAAAGAATTCCGTCCCGGAATTCCAACTTCATCCGCATCTCTGATTCTGATTCCCAGGTGGCGTCTAGTCCTTTATGATAACGCCAGTGAACCTTTACTAACCCAATTCCTTTCCAAGGCGATACCTTTAACATCACTCTATCACCTACTTGAAATTCAATCGACTTCCGACGTTTATCTGCATAACTTCTTTGCCTGTCTTGTGTCGTTTTCATTCATTCCCGTATTACTCCAATTTTATTTGCATTTTGCTGAACTAACTCAGGCGCAGCTAACTGTTTTTCACCTATTTCGTTCCAACACAAAGGAGTTCGACATTTGCGTCCAAACAGAACTTCAAAATGTGCTGTCTGAATACTCGAATGGTAGCTATTGTTGTACGCAAATTCCACCAGAGCCTAATGACTATCCCATGATCCTCCGAAATCAATGATACATGCTCCCAGCATATCTTCTAAAGTTTGGATTGTTCGTTAACTTTGTCCATCTGTTTGAGGGTGATAAGCTGTACTTAGCTTAATTTACGAACCCATTTCTCTTTGGAAGCTTTTCCAAAACATAGAAGTGAACCGACTATCTCTATCAGAAACAATTGATAGAAGAACACCTGGACGTGTCACTACCTCATCAATGTATAATTTTGCCAATCTCTCCATTGGATATGATTCTTTCATAGGTAAGAAGTGTGCAGATTTTGATAACCGATCTACTATCACCCATATAGCATCATGACCTTTTGATGTTCTTGGCAATTTGGTTATGA